CATGTACATGGAGATCAATGGTGGTCCATCCTCCTTAAATTACTTACTTAGAGCCTCCCAACAAATATGTAGTCTTGGTCAATGTCTCAACTATTGTGTTGCCAAGAGTGCACAGTTCCTTTGAACAAAAAAATCCTGTGCTAACATTTTGCAATGATCGCTTGGCTAGTCATTTTCAAATGGAAGGATCCAGGGACAACAAATCCATTTTTCAGTCTATTTCAACCTCACACAAATAAATATCAAAGCTTTGTTTCACATTCTACTGTTTCTCAATAAAGAAATAAGCACTCTGTCCCCATTAATCACCCTGTTTCCAATAAGTGCCCTCCCTAGAGGTACTAAAAGCAAATAGGTGCCCAGGGTGCTAAGTCAAATTGTTATGGTAGCTTTATTTTTCTCTAACTTTGGGGAAAATTTTACTGTAGATCACATACGCTGCTCGTTAGTCTGTAACTATCAAGTATAAAGACATTATTTACAAGCTACATGCTTGTGTCTGCCAACAAGAAGTTGCCAAATCTGCAACTTTGGTGACAAATTTAGTGGCCAAAATGTTTTCATTTACCATGATGTTTTTACTTACCATGGCAACCAAAATGGCCTTATCTTGGAGTGTTTGCTCTTTGTAATTTCTTAATGAGGTCATTTGTGTTACAAACTCATCATTCCAACTGATGCAGTCAGTAATACTGACTGTAAAATTTGGCTTCTAAGTTAAGACCAAGTGATTTTCTCATTCACTGAAAACAAAAAATTAATTTTTCTTCTCTTTGCAGATTGCAGAAGATAGTGCCAAATGTCGTAGCTGTGGAGCAAAGATGTCAGCTTATTTCTGTGGAATCTGCAAGCATTTCACAAGTATAGACAAAAACCCTTATCACTGTGATAAATGTGGAATATGCAGGTAAGTTCACTACATTGAAAAATTTTTAAGAAACACATTTCTACCATCCTTGAAATGTTTGATACCAATCACTTAGGACTGAAAGGCAACAATCACAAAAAGTGCTCTTAAACACCAAGTACTAAATAAGATGCAGTCATGATGTTCCAAATAAGCTTGCACTTTTAACAATGGCTACTGACTTAGCATGCCTGCCAAGCTGCTAGCAGTGAACCTTTGTAACATTGTTATTTTAATTTAGATGTATTGGGTGAAGATCTTGTGCTTCATCAAAATTTATGATACTTAATGTATTTTTTTTGTTTGTATGTAGCTTTCTAGAAATTATGAGATCAGTTGCGGTAGGAAAAAGTTGTTGATTTTGTTTTGTTTTCTTAGGATACACAAAGACAAGTCATTCCATTGTGATGTGTGTAATGTTTGTCTTGACAAACGGCTTCAAGGAAAACACAAGTGCAGACCTGACTCTGGTCATGATGAATGCTGCATCTGTCTTGAGGTGGGCTGTTAACCTACAAGTACATATACCTGCTTCAGTGTGGGTTTTCTTAGTATTCTGTCAAGTTGTAAATCTCATTTTCCATACCTTTTGTATAATTTGAAACTGTTTCAGCACAAGATACCTGTGCATAACAACTGCCTTGCTTTTCTTGTCACACAAACATAACAAACATGTCTATACCCACAATTATATGTGTATGCTTTCACATTCTCACTGTACAGGTTCATGGTATTGTGAACTTCTTATCATTTTAATGCAAATTATAATTCTCTCATTGTTCTTGTTTTTTTATAGGATGCATTTAGTGGATGTCAAATTTTACCTTGCTCACACAAAGTCCATCGCGAATGTGCAATAGCAATGATACAGAATGGGATGTAAGTAGCTATTTGATATTGGAGTCCCATTTGTGAAGACTTTTTGCTGTAATTCATGTTCCTGGTCTAACGTTTTGTTAACTCTTTAACTCACCGATCAAATTTGTAATTCTCCTTACTGTCAATCATACAATGCTTATAAAATTAGGTCAGAGAACTTTGAATTGGATCAACTAATTATCCCCAAATTGATATTTTTCTTTATTCATATCTCTTGTCTGGTTGGTATTGTATTGATATTGTAAGGAGAAATTCTGTCTTGGTCACTCATGGGAGTTAAAGGGTTAAGTCTTCTGAGTGTAGGAAAGCCAATGCTGCTTGAAAGTGACTTGGGACCAGAATTGAAGCTATGTGTGATGTTGTTCTTCATAGCATTATTTTACATTGTTCTGTAATAACTACTTGAACCTCAGTAATCATTGAGATTTTTTTGTTTATGTTTTAGTCGCACCTGTCCAGTCTGTCGACACCCACTATACAGCCCAGCTCCTGAATGAAAATCTCTGTTGACGTTTACAAAGTGCTGCAAATGAACTTCTGCGATGATGTTGATTTGGAAATTATTCTTTGAGGCAAATCACAATCAAAGTGGTGGAATCAAGTACTCTCAGGAAGTAATTGGGGAATCACAGCCTGGTGAAGCCTATCCAATGAAAGAGCCAAGTAAGTTTGTCTTGTATGAGAGAAAACTTTACAATTAAGGTGTTTATGGTACCTGTAATTCAGTAAAAGAGACATTACAGTGGGATGGAACCAATCACTTTAAGTTTGTTAAATATTTCTTACTGCCAGCTTTAGAGCTTCTTCTAATGTTCATCATTACAAAGCATGCAAATTAATTCCATAGCTATGATTTCCCAGAGAATGATGTAATAATGAGTGGAGTAATTACTATTTTCATTTTTTGTTGTAGTCCTACCTGGTCAATGTGGACACAAGTTTTACAGTCCATCACCAGACTGAAAATTTCATTGGCACATTGGTTATGATTGGTGA